CCCTCCTTTAAGTCTCTCCAGTGTATCTGCCTTACAGCCTCAAACGTCATATATTCTATGGAATATCTTTAAATGCGTTCCCAGAGTCTGCGCGCTTTTAAAGCGCTTGCAGCAGTAGGCGCACGGCAGACGAATTCCTTGGGAATACTCCGCGACACTTCTGCAGATATCGTCGTAATCATTGCTGATCATTACTTTATAACCATTCCTCTCATATTCGTGCAACAGGCGACGTTGATCCTCAGATAATGCCCCGTTGCCTTTAGGAGTCTTCAGCTCGACGCAGAAACCACGGTATCGCACGTGTGCATTAAGGATTAACAAGTCGGGCTGGCCGCGTTGATATCCTTTCTGCCAGCACTTTATGCGTTTACCGTCGGAGTCCTGCAGTTCGCCTAGACCAGGGGCCACGAGCATTTGGGGGTAAAACCTGCGGATGTAGTCCACCACCTTTTTGTGTAGGTCGAATTCATCTTCGATCTTGAAGACCAACTTGTTAGGACTGTCGAAGCGCCGCTCTATTGCGTACTTGCCTGTCTTACGCAGTGTGGGAAGGACATCGCCTAACACCCATTTTATAAATTCTTTAGCTGCGGCCTTGTCAGACCCAAATATTAATTCGTAAAGACCCATTTCTGTTACGTAGACGGAATGTGGCTGCGCATTAAGGGTGTCGATGTGGCCGACACCCTTGATAGACCCCAGAGTTACCTTGTTTTCCTCTGAAACGTGCTCTCTTACTGCGCTTCTCGAGTTGGCATATCCCAAGGCATTAGCCACCTCCTTCGCCTTAAAGTACAGTCGATCGCCTCGCACTATGCATTGCAGTTTGGTGTTGTTGTTTTCGAAGACGCGGAACATGGTATATTAGTCGAATATTTTAATATGCAACGCTCTTTAGCTGATTCATTTCTACGCTAAGCTGCGCGTCAGACACAACAAAGACGTAGCAGTTTATCTTAGTCGAATCGCTGGCATGTTTGGTGCGTTTAATCTCCAAAGTAATACCATCCTGGGTGTTTACCAGCCGCAGACCCTGACCGTGCATAGATTCATCGTTGGTGGTACGCATGTCGATCCATAACGCATACTTATCCGTGAAGAACTCCTTTGGGGCAATCTGGTCGCCAAACTTGCGCGCGACTTCCCGGTACGTATCCGCGGGCTTTATCCCCTGGGAGTAGACCTTGTTAGGCACTCCGTTGATGCTAACACCTACGTCGGTAATGTTAGGATTAAAGAATACCTCA